GGGCCCGAGGACCGAGCCCTGGGGGCCCCCACTGCCCACATTCCTCCAGGTCGATTAGGACTCATCCACCACCACTCTCTGGGTGCGGTCCAACAGCCAGTTAGTGACCCATCTGACTGTGTGGGTGTCGACTCTACAGTCCCCTAGTTTTTTAATGAGAATGGGGTGAGAGAGAGAGAGTGTCGAAGACCTTTCTAAAGTCCAGAAAGACTACGCCCACCTCAACGCCCGCATCTAAGGATTTTGTGACCTGGTTGTAGAAGGCCACCCCAGGTTGGTCTGACAAGACCTGCCTCTAATGGACCTGTGCTGGTTGCCTCTAAGCATAATCTTCCCTGCTGGTCCCTCGTTGACATGTGCCAGGATAATTCTCTCTGCCCAGGATCGAGGTAAGACTAACGGGCTTATAGTTTCCTGGGTCCTTTCCTCCCTTTTTTGAAAATGGGAACCAAATTGGCCCTCTTCCAGTCCTCTGGCACCACACCAGAGCACCTCGAGTGCTCGTAAAGCTGTGCCAGGGGTCCTGCAATGACCTCTGCTAATTCCCTCAGCACTCTGGGGTGGAGATCGTCAGGACCAGCTGATTTAAATACATGCAGGGGCATAGGTTGTAGCTGTGTTGGTCTAAGGACATAGGTAGACAAGGTTTTTTGGGTAAATCTGATATCTTTTATTAGACCAACTCAAACAGTTGGAAACAAATTTTCTTTGCAAGCTTTAGGACACAAACACGCATACATATTGAGCATTTGTACACGCAACATTTTTTGCCCTTTCTTGTGCTGCAGCGGCATGACTGTTTGCATGAGTTTGTTTTCCAGACTCTTTAAAAGTCTTTCTGGTGCATTAAAGTAAAACTACTCAGGCATAGTTTAGTTTGGCTCGCCAGAAATTGAAGTGTTGCGTCCGTGGATTCGTTGCATGCAAACACAAAAGCACTCAGATATGTAATGAGCCTCTTTTCCTACTAGATGGCTCTGCAACTTTTTTGTAGTTCACCCCTTTGAATTGCTTCTATTTTTTTTTTTCCCTTGTGTTGAGCTGTGTGGCAGGGCACAGGTGGGGGACCCTGGGCTGGGGGGCCAGTGCTGGACCGTCCCACTCTCCTGTGGTGCCAGCTGGGAACCAGGCTTAATTCGTTCGAAAACCTAGTGCGTGCAAACACTGATGTGATGCCCCAAAATAAAGGAGCATAAATTTTGTAAACCTATTTAATTTAATGAGGTTTAAATCCGGTGGTATGTACAGGCGCCCATACAAAGTACCTCTGTGATGTCCCTTCACCTATGCTATTTAGGCGAGACAACTTGATTTTACTTTGCTATTCTTGGATGCACCTATGCTGCACGTGTCATAATGCTCCCAGCAGCATGAGAGGAGCAGTTTGTGAAGCTCTTATTGACAGGTTTAGTTAGACAGGTATTTGGCTGGGATGGTTTAATCAGGGATGACTCTGTCTTGGGCAGGGGGCTGGACTAGATGACCTTGTGAGGTTTCTTCCAGCTCTGATTCTGTACTACATGCCATGCACTGACCAGATTCCCCACACTTCTCTTACATCCCCACCTTTTCCAGGTACATCAAAATACATAACACTTTCCATTCCCCTGCCAGAGGAACTATCTCAGTGCTGAGATGTACTATTAGAAAACATAACTCCACAACCTTTCTGAATTTTGTAGCACCCCAAGGTGAAAGTCACTGAGATGGATCTAAATTCAGAAAAGTTTTGGAGGGGGACCTTGAGTTTAAAAATGGAGAATCGGTGATCTGTCTGGTGCCAGTTAAGGATGGTGGGGACAGGACTTTACCCTTCTGTGCCCTCCTCCTTCAACTCTCTGCCCCTTCCTGGCCACTGGTTTGTGTCTTGGGGGACAAGGGCTGGCCCCACTGTTGACGCGCCTTCTGCAGGGTCTCTCGCTGCAGTGAGCACTCATGTAGTTCTTCCTGCCAGCCCGGGAGAATGGCAGGAGCGGAGGGGATGAGCTGGGCTGCAAACTGAGGTTCTGTCTGCATCTGCCTCCTTCCAGCAGAGCACATTGTTGGGGTTATGGCGGGGGAGGGGGGCACAGGGGCTGCCTGGGTGCAGGGGTAGGCAGCAGCAGTGGCAGCAAGCAAACCTGGAGTATCTGAGTCAGGCGCAGGGTGCCAGACAAGGGAGGAGAGCATTTACCCCCTCACGTGGGGATCTCGCAGCATGCTTCTGTCACTCGTGACGCAGCCTTTGGGACTCCCTGCCTTTGCAGCACCCTACTGCACCCAGCATTTGTATGCAAGGTCTGTTTGCACACACATCCAAGTGGTTTTTTCAGTTCTTGCAGTGGGTACCAGGAAACCTGTGTTTTATTAAAAAAAACAAAATAAAAACCTCCTTTCTATAAAGTATCCTCCTGGGGATTTAGCTGTTCTGTTCCCCATCATGCTAATAGGTAGGTGAGTCCCTGCAAGCCTCACTATATTTAGCTTTCTCTCTATAGTTTCTGTACTCACTGCTCAGCCACAATGAAACTTGTGTTCTGCTTTTAGATAATCCTCTCTGGGACTAACTGCACAATAAAACAGGAGGAGCTGGTTGTTAGCTCTGCTCTTAGCTGTTGATTTTTAGTAGATACTGCATCTCTTCATGCACAAACCATGCTAGATTACTGACCTTGCTGAGTAGCTGCAACTTTGCCATTCAAGGCAGCGGCATCGAGTTGATGTTCAGTTCCACCTTTAATCATGGCATAAAATGAGGACCGCATATTACTGTGCGTCAGCAGTGGAGCTCCGACTGATGTTGGTGGTGAACTTAAAAGCAACATCAAGGCTAGAGTATGACCTCTCTGTAGTAACTAAAGTCCTTGGCTTTATCAAGTGCTGTTCAATGTTGCTTATTGGGAAAATTATTCTCATAGTTGCAGCCTCCACAATTCTCTGTTTCCTTGTTGTTTGCTCAAAAATTTGAAGGGAGGGGAGAAAAAAGGATCAGCTAATAACTGTGGACCTGTAAAGACTGTGGCTATGGATGAATTAGTTATAAAGTATACTTTTCTTTCTGTCTTAAACTGCCTGGTAGTATAACTGTGCCTTATTAAATGTGTGTAGCCATCACCTTTTGAGGTTTTCAGAGAAACATTTTAAAATGCCTGCACTCTAATTTTAAAAAAAATGTTATTTTTCAGCCCTGGAAGGAAGCGAGACTTTTCCCCAGTTCCATGGAGCCAGTACTTTGAATCTATGGAAGACGTGGTGGTTGAAAATGAAACTGGCAAGGATATATCCTTTTTCAGGCTGGGTGCTTTTCAGTGTCCATGTATGCTGGAGCTTATCAAAGAGGGTGCTTTTTAACCCCCCCCCCCCCC